CAGGAATAAAGGGGCACCACTACCCTCACCCCTGCTGCTCTGACCCTAATTTTTTTTTCAGATTTTGCAGGCATGACCAGGTTAGAGTGTGGGTTCCTAATGTCCCCCTAGGAATTCTTTTAGTGAGGATAGAGTTCTCCCCACTGTCTTCTCACTAAGCCCCAGAACCGCTCCCCGCAGCTCACCACCCCATCCTTCCCAGGACCTGCTGAAGCACACACCTGTGGACCACCCAGACTACCCGCTGCTACAGGATGCCCTCCGCATCTCCCAGAACTTCCTGTCCAGCATCAATGAGGACATTGACCCCCGCCGGACTGCAGTCACAACCCCCAAGGGGGAGGTGAGCTCAGGACCCAGCATAGCCTGGCACCCAGATTGCCCGTCCCTGCTCTCCTGCCCGCTCAGGCACCACTGCCCGATGCTCTGTGGCTCTCCAACCCTGATCTCTCATTCCCAGCCAAGGAGAGGCCTTCAGGTCCTGGACTGACAGCTTAAAGTCCAGCGTCTCATGAATCTTCACAATACACACAGGAGCAGAAGAGGAAACGGGGCCCCGGAGAGTCTCTCCAGGTCTCCTGCGTGAGGTCTCTCGGCTATAAGTGTCGGAACTGGATTCTTTAGCTGGGGTTATCTGTCTGCAAGCCTTATGCGCTGACCCCCAGACCAGGGCTCTGGCTATCTCGTTCTTGAATGCAGACAGCCCCCTCTGGGCAGTATGATGTCCTCAGAGTCCCCTGGAAGATAATGTCTCAGGCTGAGGGAGCTTGTGGAGTCAGAGAGAGATGACTGAGGCTGCCAGGTGGCTGGACTGTCCCAGGTGGGCACCTAGGTGTGGCTAGCAGCTCCAGTTCCCTGGGGACCCTTTTTGGTGGAAGGGTGGGGGCACCTCAGTGAGGGGAAACGATGTGAAGAATCAAAGGGACAGTTACCTGCATGGGTCAGCAGCGTGGCCCATATACGGGGTTTCCTGTCCAAGAGAGGTAATTAAGTGGCGTGTAGGAGTGAAGGCTGGCTGGGTTTATGCTCCTTTTGTGACATTTACGAGCCTCCAGTGTCTCCTGGGGAGGGAAGTAATGAGGGACACATTCTGGAGAGTGACTAATAGGGTACAGAGAGCTGTTCCTGGTGCAGCTCCCAGCCCTGGTTTGCAAACCCTGGAATGTCACCAGTTTGTTGGACTCTGCGGATGTCTGAAAGAGCTCCAGAGGCCCTGGAACACGACCAGTTTCAGGTCATTTTAATTGTATACTTTCTAGGTGCTCACCTACATATTGCGAAGTATATAGGTCACGCGGCACATAATACGGGGAAGGCTGGGACAGATAGTGACAGCCCCACAGCAGCCTGCTGGCTCTGAGGGTGGCAGGGAGGAGGCTCTGGAAGTTATGCGTGGAGCAAACTGCTCTGGACCAGCCAGAGCCCAGGTTAGAGATGGCTGCAGGTTCCCCAGGGCACTGTGATGGCCCCACGGAGGGAAGTCCAGGGTCAGAGACAGTGTAAATGGGCCTGAGTGGTTCTGCAGGTCGAGGTTTAGCTGAAACTGGATCAACATCTTAGGCAGGGTTAGGGGGGTTTTACGGTGGGGGTGGGAGGGAGTGTTCATGACCCAGGGTGGGTCCATCCAGGTGTGAGCTGTTGAGAGCTGCAGGGAAGTGGAAAGCTGCCAATTGTTGATCACATCTTACATGCCACGCACTGTGCTAACTGTTCTACATACACCATGACTCCTACCTTGTGGGGCAAATATCATTATCCCTATTTTACAGTTGCTAAGACTGAGGCTTAGAGAAATCAGGGAAATTGCCCTCAAGATCACAGCCAGGAAGTGGCAGAGTCTGGATTTAAGCCCATGTCCCTGACCCCAAAGCCAGTGCTCTTAACCACCAGACACTACGGTCCCTCCCTGGAGCGCCACCCTCACCCCCACAGCTGGATGGGTGCAGGCTGGGCCCTGGGCTGACTCCCAGGCGCGGGTGGTTGTACCATCTCCCTCAGACGCGGCAGCTGGTGAAGGACGGCTTCCTGGTGGAAGTGTCGGAGGGCTCCCGGAAGCTGCGGCATGTCTTCCTCTTCACAGACGTCCTACTGTGCGCCAAGCTAAAGAAGACATCGGCGGGGTGAGTGTGCAGGGTGGGGGGCTGGAGTGCAGCTAGACCCTGCCCACTGTGGAGCCCCTCAGCAACCTGGGGCAGTCTGCATTTTTTCCCCTTTTTAAAAACATACTAATTAATTTTATTTTACTTCATAGCCTTTTTCTAAAAATAAATCATGGTTTTAATTGTAAAGATAATGCAGCCAGATTACAGGAAAAAAAAAACAAAAAAAACACCCGTCACCCACCTGAACATAAGCATCGGTCTCCGGCTGCTGTATTTCCTTCCAGTTTTTTAAAACGTTCTTATGTTTTTTCGTATACTCGTAATCAGAGTGAATATACCCAATTGGGGCTCTGCTTTTTCCATTTCACGTCATAAGCATTATCCCTGTTGCTGCCTAATCTTCATAATCATCATTTTCCTTTCCTGCGTGATGTTACAAGTGGATATGCCATAATTTACTTAAGCATTCTCCTTTTATTAGACATTTCTAAATTTTTGCTAACTGCAATTCAGTGAATATTCATTAAATCTGCTGGTATCATTTATTGAGTGGTTATGCCATGCCAGGTGCCATGACAAATGCTTTGAATATATTCTTTCTAATCTCCCCAGTGACTCCACAAAGTAGGTATTATTATCCCCATCTCACAGATGAGAGAAAAAGCTTAGAATAAAGTTAAATAAGTTGCCCAGGGTCGCACAACTGAAGTGGAGGAGATGGGATTTGAACCTTAATCTGACTTGAAAGCTGCTTTCCAGCTCCATCACTATACCCAGTGATATGGGTGTCTCTGTGTCATGAGCAGAAAAGCTTATTCAGTATTCACTCCCACATTCTTCCACCTGTATTTCCTTATCATCTACGGTGTGCCAGGGGAGACAAGCCATATGCTCAGTGTTGCAGGGAGGTGCAAACCAAAGTCCTGGGGGAAGTGAGAGGAGAGGTTATGATGAGTTTCAAAAGAAGGGGTGACTGCCTGGAACTAGATGACATTTGAGATGATTCTAAAGCGGAGGTGACAGTCATAAGTATACGTACCTCTGCCTTAAGTCCTTTGCCCAAGGCAGACATTACTAGTGGACCACGGCACCGTTTCTCGTTAGACTTGGATGTGGCTTTTTTTTTTTTTTAAGGTACATTCTCAGAGATTACTTCTTTTTTACTCCTTTTTAAAAATTATTTATTTATTTATTTATTTATTTATTTTTGGCTGCGTTGGGTCTTCATTGCTGTGTGCGGGCTCTCTCTAGTTGCGGCGAGTGGGGGCTACTCTTTGTTGTGGTGCGTGGGCTTCTCACTGCGGTGGCTTCTCTTGTTGCAGAGCACGGGCTCCAGGCACACGGGCTTCAGTAGCTGTGGCTCGCGGGCTCTAGAGAGCAGGCTCAGTAGTTGTGGTGCATGGGCTTAGTTGCTCCGCGGCATGTGGGATCTTCCCGGATCAGGGCTCGAACCCTTGTCCCCTGCATTGGCAGGTGGATTCTTAACCACTGCGCCACCAGGGAAGTCCCTTGGTTGTGGCTTTATAATCCTCAACTCAGTATCCCATGTGACCTCTATTAATAAAAGTTGGCATTCAAAATAGCATCTGTATTCTATCTCTAGCCTAGAAGATAATGAATATAAGCTAAATATAGACAGGCTAGAAGGGAAGGAAGAGTGTGGGATGGGGAACAGGAAAGCGTGAGACCACTCTTGCTCATACCCTAGAGGTCTGGGCTGTTTAAGAACATCAGTTGTTCTGGGCCAGAAGAATGACAGGCCCAAGGTCCAGAGCCCTTACTGCTGCCTGACCCTAGAACCCAACTCTCATTATTCCACGAGTGTTTCCCGATTAGGCTCCTCAAGGAGGGGGATCATTCTTGCCTGTGATGAGTTCTTAGTAAATCCCTTTCAGGTGGTGTTTGGTCCCAGCAGTTCAGGCCTGAAGATCCACATTCCTCTCTGGCTCACATCTCCCTCTGACTTGTTTGCAGGAAGCACCAGCAATATGACTGCAAATGGTACATCCCCCTGGCTGACCTAGTGTTTCCATCCCCTGAGGAGTCTGAGGCCAGTCCCCAGGTGCACCCCTTCCCAGACCACGAGCTGGAGGACATGAAAATGAAGATCTCTGCCCTTAAGAGTGAAATCCAGAAGGAGGTAAGCAGAGCCTGGCCTCAGCTGGGGCAGGGAAGTTGGCCATTTTTATTGGGGCCCTTTGAACTGGGTGTGCCAGGGAGGTGGAGGGAGGGCAAGTGGTAAGGTTTGGGAGTCTGACAAGGGAGGCAGGATGTAAGAGTGGGAGGTCTTTCTTTATAGTCTTCAAGATACATTTATGTGCCCAGGGAAAGACTCTAACCATGGCAGATTAGCACGGAGCATATGGAGGGCGGGCCAAGGAGTCAATGCTCAGAATTCAGTGGGGTTAATTATGGGACGTTTCCTGGGGAACAGTGTATGCCAAATGCTGCAGAATAGGAAAGCAAGAGAAGAAAAAGTGCTTCTTAAGGAAAAGCAAGATGTATGCAAGAGAAAGGACCTGGGAGGCCCCTCAGAAATGGACAGATCAAGTCAGCAAATAAATAACAGAGGGAGCCTTGAATATCACTTGATCTAAAAATGCACAGAAGCCTGTGTCCTGACGGAGAACTGAGGTTCTGTCAAACACACATGGAACATTCACAGACGTTTATAATGTATTAGGCTGCATAGGAAATCTCAAATTGAAAAGAAAAAATGATAGTGTACTGGTCATGTTCACAAACTACAGTGCAGTAAAATTAGAAATGAACAACTAGAATATAGTTAAATATATGCCTGGGAAGTTAAAACTTTCAAGATAAAGAGAAAATCAAAATGGAAACTGCAAACTGTTTAGACCTGCATGAAAATGAGAGCACTCCATATCAAAACCCATGGGATGTAGCCAAAGTGCTCTTTAGAGGACAATGGATAGCCTTAAATTCATGTATTTGAAGACAGTGGCTAGAGGAAAGCACCTTACAGGCAGAGCCTCACGCATGAATGGAAGGAAGAGCG